TCTGAATGTGTTTTTTATATCACGAAAAAGGAAATAATAACTTTTGAGACAAGCATTTACATATCACGGTCAACCAAGCAGAAAACTGCGAGCTTTACGAAGAAAAAACTGGAATAGTTTAGCCTTTACCAAGATTGTTATAACTTTACTATTGTTGAAGGTCTTCCGTAAAAGAACGACAAGAATTGACTTTTTGACTGCTTGGAAGTCATAAAATACACAATTTTATAAAAAGTGACCTTAACGACATGGCCTAAACTTTCCATAAAACCCTTCCTAAACTTCCTCCATACAGATGAGCATGAGGGGGTCTTATGAAAAATTCTATCTAGTGTTAGAGGTGATACAGCATCATCAGTTGTTAGGATCAAATCAATATCTGTTTACCTTTAAATAGCTGCCCTCTAATTGGACCATTGGCTGAAACATTGAGTTTCATTTGTAATGACCTACGAAAAAACTAATAGGCGCTAAAAAAGCCTTCCAGCAGGTAAGCAAAATAGAAAATGGAATGGTATCACAAAAAAAATTCAATCAATTAATTGCGAAAAGCGTCCATCAAATAATTGCCTAAAGCTTGAAGCAATTAATTTCTAAATTGCAGTACGAATTTAAAGAAATGTATTCGTCTATTTTTAGCGCTACCAGCAGGAGTTCAATTAGTTTGAAAGCATACATATAACATCTATGGTAAATTTTATCTTAATTCTACGAGATTTAGGGTAGTAATGTATGCGTAAATTTAGTTTTCGTAATTTATATGAGCATAATGGAAGTCTTATGAAATCAGAAACTTCAGCAACTTATCGATGACTTATGTCCTTTAGAACAAATCAGAATTGTTCCTAGATACCAGAATGTCCAATTACCAACTTTTTGTGATTCATTGAACAGTGCATTGCAAAAATCTAATGCTTACACCACGAAGCCGAAATATTCATGAAATCAAAAAGATTTTTTTGTAGGAGTTTAGTTTTAGGAAGATATTCTTCTTCAGAAAAAAACGACTACTGCGTATGTTGGTGATAATGGTGTTAATATTTGCTGTTTGTTGGTTCCCATTCAACCTTTTGTAAGTTTTGATTTGATGTCCATCATTTCTATGCAATTTTGTTGATTCTAGGAATATACTTCGAGATCTGCACTTGGACAGCTTTATTCGGCCACATTTCAGCTTTATATTTTTAGTTGCACATCTTATCAGTATGACAGCAACTTGTTGGAATCCTATACTCTATGCTTGGATGAATGAATCATTTAGGCATGTTTTTATTTAATTCATTGCTGAATTAGGAGGAAAAAAGTCTTTGCAGAGAAGGATTCGTCAAAGCGATTCCCTTTTTACGTTTCGGCAAGCCTCGTGGTCGCGTTAGGGTTAAGACAGGTAAGACTTCGCTAAACGTTTAATTCAGTTGGATTCGAGTTAGGAAATTGGTTCAGATCGTTTTTTTTTCTATTTGCTCTTTCAGAAGAACGACCAGGAGAGTACAAATCTGTTGTAACTACCCATACCCATACGGCAAACGATTGCTCAAAACAAAGCGAAGAAAATTTAAATTACCAAAAAGGTCGGTAAACACGTTGCAGACGTTGAAAGAGCTCTTTCGCTAATCAGATAAATCTTTTCAGATTGCTTACAAAGCCATGAAACATTCCATGAGAAAAACAACGACGCAAAGAATTTATTGGAATCACCAGATACGGAGAAAATCGACTTGATACTCACTGATGATGCAGAAATGCATGACAATTATCTTTTATGATCTCGCAATTCCGCCTTCTATAGAAAAGATTTCCAAAAAGAACCTGTGATTCCGTGTCAATTTGTTCATGGTGAAAGTGTCAAATATGTCAATTTTATCTTCATTTATAACCAGTAAAGCGCGGGTGTGTTTTTGTTTTTAGTCCTGCTCACGAAAGCATACGTTACGGCATGTCACGAAATAAATAATCCGATGAAACTTTCACGCAGTCTCGTAAAATTTTGTTTCGAAAATTGCGTAACATTTCGTTTGCACGAACTATAAATAACCACTAGATTGGAACAGAATTAATGCACATTTCCCAAATTCATCTTTTGTAACACAATTTATATCCATTTTCAAAAGTAGTTTCAATTATGAAAAACATAACCAGACATGTTTCAAAGACTCTCTGCGCTTAAAATTTCAGATCCTACAACGAAAGAGTACAAAAATCAGGAGAATGGACATTCTAGATGTAATAAAATCCATTCCCTGCAAAAAATAAATCTCACAAAAACATTATTTTTGAAAAATGACAAACTTGCATAAATTTCGTCCCAGTCTAATCTTTGCTGCGATCTTCAGTGTGGATAGTTGACCCTTTCCAGGATTTTCAGATTTTGTTCATCAACAATTAACTATTGCAATTACAGTGCTAGCGAATAGCGTAGTAATACTGTACATGAGGTGAACTGCTTAGTTTAATAAGTTTATTTTCGAATATTCTCATCACAGAATACGTCTGAACTCACAGACTTATGGAATTATTAACAATGTTTGTCGACAAATCCAGCGACAAGAGGAAGAGATTTGTTTTCAGAAAAATCCACTTCAACCCATTCAGCGAAACAATCCCCGGCCATTGGCGATACCGTACTGTAGCGAAATGGCTCGGAAACGTTTGAACCTCGGCGGGATTTGCGTCTTTTCGGGGTTTTCATCAATGCTGGGTAGGGGTAACACTTTTTTCCGTTGGGCTTCAAGGTCCAGTGGTACGACTTGGCTCTGAAATGTTGGGATGATCATTAGAGCATGTTATCCACGACATGTTCATGCTCCGACTCATTTGGGCACGTTTTGTGTAATTGCACAACTTTTCGGATATGCACCGGCGGAATGGCATCATAGAGGTTACAAGGGTTTTTTTCATTGTATGCGGGTTTTTTGATACCTTTTGGACCATTTTGCTGCGTTTTCAAACATGTTAGTCATCCCACCATTTCCGTTTATGTTTTTCCGTGTAAATTCAAAAATGGTGCAGTTACACAAAAAATAGCATTTTCTTTTTTATTCCAATTGTAAGTGCCTACTTACCATGCTAATTGCGCGAACAGCAGCTTGATGAAGAAATTTAGGTGCTAGCAAATCCAACAAGAACGATCCAATGGGTGCGGTCAACAAAATTGCCAATATACAGCAAATGACTGTCTGAATATATTGAATTACGATTGTTTAGTCTAACACTGCGATAAATTACTGCGGCTGATTTGACAACCACTACTTCTGCGGTTTCGACAACATTTGCGCGTAAGAAATGGCCGTGGGGCGCATTGCTCGCCAAATAACTGCTTTCAACGCGCAAATGTTGTCAACAATGCGAGAACACTATCTTTGCTGTTAAGCCAACTATTGTAGTCGAAACAACTCACCAAAAATGCTTCACTCTCATATTCAGGATA